CCCTAAACCCCAAACCCTACACTCTGTTTGCCGAACCTCCGAGCTGAGCGCAAAGACGCCGAGGCCCAGGCCAACGCGGCTCAGCAGTTCACGCAGGGCCCAAGCATAGGCGCCAAGGACGCCAAGGGGTTGTGGCGAATAGGGTTTACCCGTAGGCCCCATAGTAGTTCCTTCTTGGGGTTCATATTTAGAATCCTATAGGGTAATCCCAAAAAGGAACTACTTTGGGGCCCATGGGTAAAGGTTTAGGGGTAAGAAGTTTGGGGTTTCGAGCTTTTTGGGGTTTAGGCCGAATCTGGGAGTTTCTGGAAATTCGGAGTCACTTTTCGAGCATCCTCATAAGAAGCGTCTGTTTGGGGGTTCACATTAGGTTCGATTTTCTGAGAGTAAAGTATTGACGTTTCAGGTAGGGTGTAGGCTCAGCCATGACTATAGCTACTTCTTCGTTTGCCATGCCAGTGTTGCTTCTTGTTTTGGCATTAGCAATTTGAGATACGCAGTTTCTCTTTTACACGGTCGAAGCTTGCCAAGAAGATGTATGAAGAAGCATGCGAAAAGAGGGCTTGCACCACAGCTCGTGGTATTCTCCTAGACCGTATGTCCAAGACTCCCAAAACTCCTAAACTCCAAGCCCTGAATCACAAACCACAAAGACCGAAACTGCTGCTTTAATGCCGAACCGCAGAAATCTTCCCTGACCTTCGCAAAGAGAGGAGATGGAGGCCGCAAGCCAGGGCGCTGTTATCGAGGCGATCTTCTCGGATTGCTTGGGCTCGCTTTTGGTTTCTTCCGGGGCTTAGTGCTGAATATTTCTGCAGGATGGATGTAATTACATGGTGTGCAGCGTTGGGCGCAGAGTTTCCTGAGTTTACCCATGTATCCAGAGATCCCAGTCAAGTACAGTATCCCCAAGTCACTGTCGGTTGTCCCTGATTGACAAGCCCTTCGATATTGAGAAAAGTTGTCTTCCTTTATTTCCTGTTGCGCAGCTCTACGCACATGCAAAGATCGGTTCAGGGGTCTGAGTTTCAGGGCTTTGGGCATGTTCCACATGACGAACTCTAATGGCACCCGTTTACTGAAGATACTAATCCCAGCCTTGTTGAAATGACTTCTAGATTCGATAGAACTCCTCGGAACGATACCTGTACTAATAGCAGCATCCCTGTACAGCAACAACCGTTTATAGAGAGTGTTTGAGCGCTCAGGGTTCAGGGTTCAGCGTAGATGATAGATTACATTATATATTACATATGAAGATCTATAAGGAGTTTAGGGTTCAGGTTTCAGGACCATGAGTCGACGGTCTTAGGTAACACTTCTCCCTTTTTTGGCTTTTTTGGTTTTGACCTCCAAGCCCAAAACCCGAAGCCCTCGTACCCGAAACCTTAGAGACCTAATCCCTAAACCGAAGCTCTCAGCCTGGCAAGCTTCGAAGCCGAGACTCGAGTCATGCACACCCGAATAGAAAACCGAAAACCCTAAAACCTAAAACCCTAAACCCCTAAACGCTAAAGCCCTAAACCCTAAAACCCTAAACCCAAAGCCTTAAACCATTGCGCAACGATGGAGCACCACTCTTGCAAAAGAAGTCTGACAGCTCGGGTCGCTTGGATGAAGGGGGCTGAGGAATTCGAGACCTCGGCCCGAAGATACAACAGCAGATTAGGGTTTAGGGTTTAGGGTTTGGGGTTTAGGGGTTTAGGGTTAGGGTACAACAACAGAGAGTCCGACATAAACCAGGAACTATAACGGTTTAGGGTTTAGGGATTAGGGTGTAGGGTTATATATATATATATATAAACAAACCCGTACCCTAAGGGTCCAAGTACCTAATAATGATATACTCGCCCAAATATCAACCTAGATAGCTACTATCCGTAACCAAAGTACCTGATTATTGGGTCCTTTGGACCCTTAGGGGTAAGTTGAGTTCGAGCTGTAGCGCTGCAGACATGTCATAGCACTAGGCCCTATTTTAGGGTTTAGGGTTTAAGGTTTAGGGTTTAAGGTTTAGGGTTTAGGGTTTAGGGTCACTAGGCACTAGACCCCTAGCACTGGGTGCTCGACCAGGGTCGTCAGACAACCCGGTTTAATGCTTGCTGCCCTCAGGGTTCAGCGTTGTGCGGGTCGGGTAAGCCCGTGTGTCCGTATACTCAGAAAGTCAAGCAAAGTCTGTACTGCCTACTAAACCCTAAACCCTGCAAGCTCTAAGCCCTAAACCGTGTCACTTTCTCAACTGGCAGGAAGTCGACGAGGGCGAAGTGGATGACTCGGGCGTTGAAGCCAAGGACCGAGTGACCTGCGGTTTGGGGTTTTAAGCTTTAGGGATTAAAGGTTATGATTCGGGCCGATGCCGTTTTGCAATTTGCGGCACCCTTCCAGCGAACAGCAAGATATCAGGCTAATCCAATTTTAATACTGGGTGCCGTGCCCGTACTTTGGCATCGTTGCATTCGGGCAGGACGTCGACCTTGTCATGCAGCAGGCACGCAAACGCCGTGGGGGTTCAGGATGTTGGTCTCGCGAGCCGCCTTCGCAGTGGCCCATCGGCTAGACCCCAGCTCGCCCCGTTGCTCTGCCACCTCTAAGCATGACTGCTGAAAAAGTATCCTTGCACTTACCCGTAGACATTCATACATTTGTCTTTTGGTTGCTGGTGACTCTTCGTTTCTCCGAAGTTTATTTTGGAGGACAGCAACTACTACCCTACTGCTGGGATTGACGGCTGCAGCTGCTGCTGCGACGTAGTCGCAGTACTGTTCGCTGTCCAAGCAGTATTTAGAGCAACAGTACTGCAAAAACGAATCATAGCCAAAAGAGGACCAGCGTCGCAAGGATGACAACAATTTTTGTCATTGCTGCTGCCAGAGATGATGCTGTTGCGGCCACACTACGGCTGCCACTGCCACTCGACTATGGGAACGGCAACGGCGGCGGCTACGACTGCGACCACAAGCTGTCCTACTGTACTGCTGTACTATCTTCTTCTTCTACTACTGCTACTACTACCACTACTACTACTACTACTACTACTGAAGAGCTTGACTCCTCGGCCCTT